GTGTATATCGAGTGGAACATTGCATAGATTCTAGACTACACCAGGAGATATTACTAGCATTGTATCTAGGTGTTAGTGGAATCTGGGTGTATATCGAGTGGAACATTGCATAGATTCTAGACTACACTAGGAGATATTACTAGCATTGTATCTAGGTATTAGTGGAATCTGGGTGTATATCGAGTGGAACATTGCATGGATTATAGTCTATACCAGGAGATATTACTAGTATTGTATCTAGGTTTTAGTGGAATCTGGGTGTATATCGAGTGGAACATTGCATGGATTCTAGTCTACACCAGGGGATATTACTAGCATTGTATCTAGATGTTAGTGGAATCTGGGTGTATATCGAGTGAAACATTGCATGGATTCTAGACTACACCAGAAGATATTACTAGCATTGAATCCAGGCATTAGTGGAGTGGTGCATAGCAAGTGGGACTTTGCATAAATTCTAACCTCTAATTCCATTAACAGTGCTATAAAAACTGATTGACTGCTAATTGTCAGATAATAGATTGACTTGTGGCCATGACTTTCATTGTTTTATGTTTCATTCTGCAGTTGTTAGACATTTTGGAGCAGTATATCATGGGTACTGGCATGGAATATCGACGTATCGATGGAAAGACGCCTGGTCCAGTCAGAATGAACTATGTGCATGAGTTCAATCAAGACAAGTCTGTATCAGTCTGTCTAATATCAACCAAGTAAGTAAGAAATATATGCCATTGTCTCAGTTGATTTATAAGGGGAAGGTAGAAATGTTATCAATCAATTGCATCATGGGATACTATTTTCTGTTTCAAATTTGTCAAAATAGTGGCCATTTTAATAAAAAAACGTAAAATATTATTCTGTATTATGTCCCGAACTGTTTCCTGGATCAGAACAAAGCGATATGGCCTGATTCAGTTCAAAGTTGAATAGGGCATTTTCAATCGAACTTTGTTTGATGACCCAGGGATCTTGCCACGCTGGTTGGTGGTGGTCGGCCCCGACTGGCACTCAAAATTAGCGACCACCATGGAAATGCTCCCGACCAGGACTATTGTATATAGTTATGTACCGACTGACATGCATGTTGCCAGTCCTGGATTATACTTTGTAAACAATAGACATAGTCGCACGATACGTAACGAATTGACCTTACATATTAGGTTATGGTGCAAGCCATATTTCTTTTGGAGATACTTGAGCAACAATACCCGACTGGCTGCATTTTTCTTTCATGCTATTTCCTTTGTAGGATATACTAGTAGTCCAATTCAGTTCAAAGTTCCCACATAGGTACTATACTGACAGTAACACAATCTATAATCTGTGTTAGTGTTGGTATTAAAAAAACATTGATCTTTCATTTCTACATGTCACTTGTGCTGAACATTTACATCGACTACAGCTAATACTTAACAGGGACTATGCATTATCAATGCTTGTTATTAAATTTTTTGGATGACATAATTTTCTCTGCTAAAATGTTGGTGGCAACATTTTTGTATTTTTCCATAATGTTTTTGTTAATTTTGAACCACGATTGTCTTAATCAACATCTTTTTATTAAAAAAAATAAGGAAACACAATTGTGGGTTTATTTTGTGAATGGTGACAAAAGTTGATGTTCGATATGTAACTGTAAAACTATTGGACCAATTTTAGGTTATGGAATATGTTTTAGTTGAGGTATGATGTCTTACATTGCAGAATATGTATACAGTTTTGGTAATCAAAATCTGTGTAAAGTAAGTTTCTGGTTCTGTAAGAGTCCTCTATAAACCATCCATCACAGTTTGACGAAACTGTAAAAAGTCTAAATTGCTGAAATGAGACAATTATTTTGGCAACGATTACATCTTTTAGATGTCTACTAAGGGCAAACATTCTGCATTCATTACAGGGCAGGTGGACTGGGTTTGAATATGACCGGGGCAAACATAGTCATCATATTCGATCCTAATTGGAATCCTGCTCACGACCAACAAGCCCAGGACAGAGCCTATCGAATCGGACAGCAACGAGACGTGAAGGTGTACCGATTGATATCATCTGGCACTATTGAAGAAAACATGTATCTTAGGCAGATTTACAAACAGGTTTGTAATTTATCAGATGATTCATCACCATATACCATATTAAGTACTGTAGAATACTTTATTTTTACTATTTTGATCTCAAGTCTAATTTACCAGATGGTATTTTTCTTGAGATAATGAAAAGTGCAAAAGCCCTTTCACTATACCTTAAAGATACTATCTATAATTCCCCTGATTAAAATTTGTGAGGATCTTGACGTTATTATTATTTTCATATTTCTTTATTACATTTGTTTATTCATGTCTTGTTATTCTCTTTACCTTACTAAATTCTCTGATGATTTAGTTGTGTGATTTTATTTTCACTGAAGCATCCTTTCAGCGAAAATAAAATCCAGCAAATATTTTTTTTTTCGTATATTTCACATTCAACTCATCACAAATCAGTGAAAATAAATTCCGAAAATTAATTTCAGCTAAAATAAATTAAATTACAGTATTTATAAAATAAGGGCATACTAGTATCATTCAAATATCCATCCATGGTGATATGTAATTGAAGATCTGCTTGTGTACATCAACCAAACTAATTCTGATCAATGGCATCACTGAATGCAATAGACAATTGGAAATGAGATTTAATTATTATCCTGAAACACATAATACCCTCTCAAAAAACGCAAAGACCAGTGTGCTCTCTAAGCCGTCAACAAGCTGACTGAACTTGAGTTTGAAAGATATTATTTTGACTCCGGATCCTTACAAAATCAGTTCTGAGAGGGCACACTGATGCTGGAAAAAAATCAGACAAACACATACTATATTTGCACTAGAAAAGTAAGCTTGTCTTGCAATAAGAAAAGAAATCATATTTCAATGATTTGCATCTCATGCCACATAATTTGCAAATGAGTTTTTGGTTGGATCTTGAAAGCAGAGAAAGTTGATGCAAGGCGAAGAGTTCTGGAAAATACATTCCAGAGTCTGATTGTAGCAACTGAAAATACCCTCTTTCTGTAATGCTCTTGTTTATAACGGGGGTTCAAATAACCTTATAGTGGATGAAAAATGAGTTTGCGTAACTAGAACTGGAATAGTAATAAGGCCAGATAGATAAGATGGCACTTTATTGTGTAAAATCTTATCAACAAACATTAAAAACAGTTTGCCGGGAAACAGGTAACTAGTGAAGATTTTGAACAGGAGTTACGTGTTGATGTTTACGTAATACGTTGACGACGGGCAATCAGATTATCAGGAAGATGAATATAAAAACTATTACAATAATCTAATTTAGGGGTTTTAAAAGCATGAATTAACTGTACAGTACTACTACGATTTAAAACATTTCTAATAAGGCCAATACGTCTTAATTCATCAGAGACTGATTTACATACATTTGATATTTGTTTATGGGGTAAAGCAAAACTATCAATGTGAAACCCAAGATTACTCACTAGATCAGAAAGATTGATTTCATCAGAACCAACGCAAAGGCATGATAAACGCTCATGCTTACCATATTTTGAGTTTTCCTGTCTTTCAAAACCAACCTATTTGACAGCATTCATTTCCAAATTCCATCAATGAACGACCAATCACAGATCTATCCATTTCAGTGTTTGTACACGTAATATATAATTGTGTATCATCAGAATACATCATGAAATTTAACAAATCATTCCTCGTGATATCGTCCAAGGGAACACAAATGAGAGTAAAAAGAATTGGGCCTAAAACACTGCCCTGTGGCACACCATACAATTGAAATCTTAATCTGTTTCAGGTTCTGTTCTCACAGTTGTTCATTCCTGTTACTTTCAGCAAATAGCCAGTACGCTGGTTTCATCTGAGAGTTCAAAGCGATATTTCAATGCAGTTGCAGGTGATAAAAGCCAACCTGGTGAGCTGTATGGTCCGGAGAATGTCTTTAGGTTTGGTAGAGGTGGCTGCCTAACAGAAGACCTTATTGCGGTATAAATAGAATTTCATATATATTCTAAAGCTACCGTAGACTTCAGTGCTATTGTCATAAACAAATTTTGAAAGCACAATTGTGAATTCCTCACTAATAATTCCAAAAGCCTCTGTTTTCACCTGTTTACAGTTATCCATATTCTCTTCAATAATTGATAACTTATTATTCAGTAGACAAAAATGTGTCCTCAGTATGCAGTGGATTTCATATGCCCTTGTTTATTGACCCTTATCTCTACTTTGGTTTGTTTGTACATGATCACAATTCCTTCACTTTCTTAATTTTTTTGTTATTATTCAGAGAGAAAAAACTTTTGAGCAAGGTATAATGATGGCTCCGTATACAAGTCCTGAAAGCCATGTCGATGAAGAAGTGGAAAATTATGAAGAAAATGTATGTATAAATAAATAGTGAGAAAATATATTGGGGTGGAATAATTCTTGCAATTTAAATGGAATGGGATGAGATGGATCAATCAATCAATCAATCAATCAATCAATCAATCAGTGAATCAATCAAACTTGTGAACCTAAATGAATGAATGAATTTGTACAAGAGGGAAATCACTTTTATATGTCTCCTTGGACTGGATGCCATTCCTCATTTTAGGAATTGCAAGTTTTGTTCCCTACAGATTGGGCCACAAACATAGTCACCAAAGCAGCATTATTAACCATTATGCCACACATTGATGAAATATTTTACATGTACCACATAATAACAATGAGTATAACATGGTTAGTGTGATGGAACTGTATACATTTATACTAAAACACAGTCCCTCACGGTGTTGAGTGACTGTGATTGAAACAACACAGAAAGACTATCAACATGGTTAAATAATATAAATATTTTTATGGACACTCAATATTGATCAATATTCTACAAAATTGATTTTTGATGTAAATTTCTTGAAAAGATTTCATCATTATATTTTTTATTATATTGTAGGAACAAGAAGAAAAAAATGATGATTGTGTAAACAGTGAAGATGATTGGATCAGGTCACAGATCAGTTACCATAGCGATGACAGTGATGAAGTAGATAGACACGATGCTGGAATATTGAGGACACAACATATGGAAATAAAAACTGATGAGGATGAAAGTGACGAGATGATGAGTCTTGATACATCAAATAGTCTAGATGAAGATGCAAAGCTGAATTTGAAAAGTGAACAGATGTTGAGACATTCAGTTAGGAATGAGAGATACAAAGAAGCATTGAGTAGAAAGGGAACATTGTCATCCTCAAAGAAAGGAGATGCACATCAGGAGGAGAACAAAATGAAGAGGAAAGTGAAGAGAAATGTTCAGTTTCTTGATGTGTCATCAGAGGACGAAGAAGATGGAATTGCCAGGAATGTTCGAAGGAAAAAGAAAAAAACGAAAGCTAAAAACAATTATTCAAGTGATGCAGAAGATTCTATGGAAGTTATTCTCAGTAAGTTGCCATTTTTTTCCAGAGTAAATAAAATACACAAAAATTCTGAAATAATAAATATTGTTTTGTGTATTACCAACCCTTTGAACGTCTTGATTTATGTTTTTGATAATCAACTACTGGTACATCACTTTATATACAAAATCTGTTCTTTTCATAGAAAATTCAAAATTCTTGAACTGTTGATGCAACTGACTTCAGTTGTTGGTTCATAAGTCTGTTTTGTTTATTATTACAGAGGAATGTGGTGCGAATTATATCCATTCCAATATGGCGGTGGTTGGAGGCAGTCGTGTGGAGCACCATGTTTCTAAATGTGCAATTAAAGACGTATATGAGCTAGAACAGTATTCACAGATGCCAGCAAACTGCCATATTCAGACTCTATCACAGGTATTGTTCTCAGCATAGAGTGAAAGGAGGGTGGGGTGGCTGCACTAAAACTGGGATACACAATTTTGGAAATTAATTAATATTATATTGTTTGGTACATATTTCGGTCACTCAATGATTTGTACATTTGAAGATGAAATCTGCAATAAATAAAACTGTTTAACCAAGCAAAACGACTGTCTTGTTACCACTACATCATTTAGGAAAGGTGATACAGCAGTACTGTCATCAGAACTACACTATGCAGGACCTACAGCTGTTTACTTATTGATAGTAGCCAGTTATTATAAAAAGCATTTTTTGTATACAAATGTCGTGCTTGGTCGGAGCTAAAGGTTCTATTTTGTGACGATAAAGTATTATGTGAGCAATGTTTATGGTGTGTTTTATTTATGAACAGTACTGTATATAATGTTATAATGTGTGGTACTCTCAATGTCAGTAAAGACCAATCACAGAATTAACAGAAAACAATAATAGTATAAAAGTAGAATATCCACATGTGCTGTTTTGACGACAGCTTTAATTTACGTGATCAGAACGTTTCGGGTGAATTAAACATCCATTTTCAAGCTTTGGACTTTTTATCTATTCATTATTGTGAACATTGTGTATTCTTCAGTTCTCTTTTGTAGCATATTGATAACACTACATTTAAAAAAAAATTAAATACATAAATTATCTTTATCTTTCAGCCAAATAGCGAAGAGAGCGATGATTTAGGAGTGTCGTGTAAGTCATCGATTACTCAGTCTCTCATCACCGAAGATAACACGACACAGTCTGATGATCCATGCTGCTTATACAATCCTGTTGTTTTGCATAGTAAACGAGAATCTCGCATCACTGGGAATGTTACGCTTTTAATTGGAGAGACTCCAAAGACCATAACAAGGTGAATAGTGATGATTTATTAGTCTTCATCAGAGTCTGAAAAGGGGGATTATAATTTGTGGAAGCATGGAGTAAATAAATTTGGAATGTGAACAACAAAATAGTCAATGGTGAAACAAAGACAGTGAGGACTAGGATAATAAAAGGTTATCTGACAGTGAGGACTAGGCGGGCAATGTTTATATATTCCTCCACATGTAGATGTGCACTCATACCAACAGGCTATATAAATTGTGGAAACGTGCTATACTTATTATAAAGGAAGCTAAGTATAATCATCCTACATCTTAGGAATATATTTTTGTAATGTGTGTACGTTTGTTTTTCAGACAACATTTTGCCGACATAGCTAAATCTTTATCATATAAATCAACGTTGGAGTTCGCTGAAACTGTCCTCTCGATTGATTCCAAGGAACGACTTGAGATTTTAGAAGACTATTATTCTAAAAAATATGCTCACCTACAAGTAGTTGATACCAAAGGCTTATACACTGTGAAAGTGGCAGAGGAGAAACCTAAAAACAAACAAATACGGGTAAAAAATGTTAAGAAAAATGCAGCATTGAGAAAACGGCCACAGAATACAAGAATGCGAAAAAGAAGACCACTAGCTGTGAATTTTGACAGTGATGAAAGCGAGGAAGAAAATTATAGACGTGATAAAAGATGCATGTACAAAAACAGGAGGAAAGTTGTTTACAGAAGTGACAGTGATGAGGAGAGGAATGATATTGAGAGAAAAGATGAGAGTAGTAATGACGGTGATTTGGAGGAGGAAAATGTGTCCCTTAAGGAAGGAGCTTTAAGTAGGAGAAAAGCCGGAGTTTTTCAACATGAATCAGGTGCACAGAATATACATGATGAACTACTTTGTATGGACAGTGAAACAGATGGTACAATCAGTGTAGAAGACAGTCCACAGCCACCACAGGTGACTACCATAGAAAGAGAATCAAGTTCTAGTATCTCCTTGTGTAAAAAAGCAAATATGGATTTCCTAGATGATATCTTCATGTGTGATAACAATCTTAGTGACGATCATAGTGATGTCAATGTTACCCAAGTTAACAGACATGATGATAAGGTTACTGAGGTGACAAGCTGTTCCTATGGTGATGAGGACAGTTATTTTGTACTTAATAAAAATTATCGAAAAGTTATAGAAGATCTGTGATCTACAGACCAAAATATATTAAAGAATTATAATGGAATGCAGAAATGTTTTGACTTGTGCAACTCTCAAAATTGACACAGAATATGCAGTTTATGACACTAGAGGGCGCTATACCATCAAAATTTATTCTGATAACTTTAAACTGAAGTTTTATTGTAAATTATATTGAGTATTACCCAGTCAGTGTTTGTATTTTTGTAATTCTTTTAAATGAAACTTTGACCAGACATCATGTCTTAACTTTACTCATTGAAAACCAGTAAATAAATTGGATCTCAGATGACAATGGCAACTGATACCTTGTTAAGAGAAAATTAGCCATAATTCTCGGGGGCGGACGTCCGAGCATTTTCTACCGCCTGGCAACCCTCGCGGTGAAAACAAAGACCAAAAACTCGCAGAAAACGGTACTTTGCGATGGTTGTTGAGAGTCCCCTGAACAGTATAACAAGATTAGCCCTACGTGTGTAACATATATAAATTTGGTTGTTCAGGATTACTTCAAAGTTGATTTTGTGTTGTTTTCTTGAGTTTTCACCGGCTCCACCGGCGGTCCACAGCAGCGCGCACAGAGCCCATAGAAATACGTGGTACAGTGGTGCGCGTCTTAGCAACGTAGAACGTCCGTGACGTAGCTCCGCCCCCGAGGATACTTGTTTTGATATTTTCCAAGTACCGTAGATCAATGGAACATTGTACACAGTGACTGAAGTGAATGTAACACTACTTGAGGTGCAAAAACAAATCCTGCTCTATTACAATGTTGGTGACTTTTTTTTCTCTATTCTGATAACATGGTTTTGAAATTTTTTTAAGGAATATTTAAGGAATCATTTATGTATTCAGTGATCACATAGTGTTTGAAGGAACAATGTCAAACAAATCACTGACAACCTGTCATAGGGACTCCCGTGAAATTGTCACTGCTACAAAATTATATGATTTTCATTGACTCACAAAATTTCCTATAAGTTCCATTGGTATAATTTGCAAAGAACTGAAATATTACATGAAATAACTAGCATAAAAAAGAACTCATAAGATTAGGGTTAGGGACTTTGATATTTATCTAAGGAATTATGTGATGAAGGTCCTAGTATAGTTATGTTATGTTATCAAATTTGATTCCTTACAGATGTCAACATTATTTTACTATTTGTACAGATTTTTGACCATGTTTAATGTTTATTTTAAATATGTATGTTTTTTAACTCGTTGCATTGAGATCGTTAAGCATTCTGTACTTTGCTAAGATCAAACTTTTTCTGTTTCTGTGGTGTTCAAAAAATGTGTGTAGTGACAATTGTGGTAAACAAAGCAAGAATATTAGTGCCATTACTAGTATTCATAGTCTTGGCTGTAAATAGTTTGGTAAATAAATTTCAAATGCAGGATTTAGTGCATTTTTATACTTTCGATATTAAATAAGATCATTTTTTTTATTTTTGGTGGTAATTATTTTCCCTTTCCACTGCTGTGTATTTAGCTCCTCCAAAAATCAAGATGAAACCCTTTGTGTCAGCAAAAATTTGCCCTCAAAATGCAGGAAATAGCGTTTCAGATGGTCTAGATTTCAGATCTCACCCCCTCATGCAAAGTTTCGTTCCACCGCCTCTGTGCATTTACTGTTAGATAGTAGAGCCCAGCTGGAGTGTCCGGGAAATTTTAGGACATACCCCCCCCCCCCTATTGCATAATGGTATGCCCCAACCCAGTCCTTTGTAGCTGGTCAGCACTCAATTTCCAGTCTCAGTTTCTCGCGTATGTCGTTGTCTTGGTAATATTTATAAATTCCAGTGACAGCCAATCAACGAGTGCTGTGTTCAATGACGTTATTTGAAAATGTTCCAATGTTATTCCATTGGCCAATAGAAACCACGTTTTGAATTTGATTTTTGAAATTTATGAAAATTGGTTTGTGGTTGCGATAGTGTAAATTAAATTGTTCAATATCTGATGGTTCAGTCCACTACCAACAAATCGCGCTAAAAAAAAATACGGCCGTAAAAGACAGGCATATTTGTAAATTTGTCGTATAGTCCCTGAAGCCACAGTCACGCGTGAAGTAGCGCTTGTCTGTATGTTGCTCGGCTTACAATATATCTAAGACAAGGAAAACGCGCCGCGCAGTTACACTCTCGTGAATGGTGCAATAGACAGTGGACGTGTCGCGTGTTTTTTCATTGCGCAAATTTGACTGGAACTGGTTACGAACCAGTTGAGCAAGGCTAACCGAGTCGTGACCTCGATGTGGTTCGTAACCAGTCTTGTGATTGGTTGTTGACAAATGCTGAACAGGCCACGCCTCCAACTGTGCCTGCGTTCGGGCAAACCGTTAGGAATTCCTAAATGGAGTAAATTTGTGTAGTTTTCTTGATTTATTCTGCAGATATCGGTAAAATATAGGTAGGGCTTTGGCGAAATTTGAAGAAGCAACTAATATTCTTCAACCTGGTATTTTTTTTAGATTTTATTTTTCATTCTTTTCGTCTGTTTTTTCGAGTTTAAAAAATGTGAGCTGGCTGGAGCCTTCATCCCTTGTCTATTTCTTACACTAGATACCAGCCGATAACCCCCCCCCCCCCCGCTCATAGAGACTGCGTACTACCGTTGATTATAGTTCCTGGGCCCCCTGTGGTAGAACTGATAAAGATACGTGTTTTGAACGATAATACGTATTTTGTTGAATATATTTAAAAATACAGTAACAATAGAAATGTAAATTATGCAGTATTTAGTGTTATATATCAGACGAGACTGAGATCGGTCTATGTAGTAGTTTATGCCACCATCTTCTCCGATGGCGAGATTTTGAGCAGCCTTTTATGTCATCTGCCTGGCAACCGTATGGCAGTACTTCGTCAGTTTCTCTCTCGTTATTCGCGTCATCACCGCTGGTGGCGCTTTCGATCACTGTCGCACAATTTTCTTCAATTTGAAGTTCATTTTCTATGGCGTCATTTTCACTCAAGTACTGAATTACGGGCACCTGTACAATAGAGAAGTTACATATATATATATATATATATATATATAAATAAATCGTCACGAGACAAAAAAAAACATTTTTAACGATGACATATTAGTATAACCTTAATTTTTCTAACAACTAACCTGCGTCGTTGGAGTTGCTTCATTATTTTCCTTGTTATTGTTGCCATCTATTGTCTTTATACCGGACTTCATATCTCTAATTTTGTGTTGTTCTTCTAACATCTTAAATCCGTGGTCGCAATACGCATCAAGCCATTCGCGAAACTGCAATTAATATATAAGATTAATATAAACGCTATACCAGGGATTCTCGTAAGTTGTTACCCGCACATGCGCAGACAGACTATGCTAAAACTCCCCTATAAAGTATCAAATGCATGCGTAATGCGCCGACTAAAAGTAAACAAAGTATTTCACATTTGACACAAAATATATTGTCTTGTCAAAGTGATGGCGAACGGGAACACGAGCGCGTAAGACTATACAGCTCCGTGTGTTTCTTTAGTGAGTGTTCATGCCGTCTGATATGTCATATTATAACTGGATATACTTGTGTCGAATATCGTCTTACCTCTGGACTGCCGTCAATTTTTGGAATCTTTTTCAAATTAGGCACATATTTGGGAGTGGGTGGTTTAGATAGCTCGGCTGAAAAGAAAATTATTATCAATATAACTTTGATTTCGTTGCTTATGGCGGCACATTCGCAGGCACAATATCATCACTATTCTTAAAATAACCTGAAGCAATAATGTTAAAACGATGTGGAAAATGAAAGTCGAAGTAACTGCAAAAAGTCGCACAATGTCTTTGAATTACGTAATATATCTTTACCTTTCTTTATCTCCCTCATTCTCCGATGGTATTCCTTGGTGTCCATCTTAAGTATCGTAAACACCGCTAACCACTTCGTCATTTTTGATCTCTTTCGAGATGAAAAGTACAATGACTTTTTCTATCAGAGATTGAAAAGATATATCTTCTTATTGTCTTCACAGTGTGTAAATGCAGACAGTGACAATAAAATGACATTAATATTTTTCATGGAGGAGGTAACTTACCTTTGAGACGAGTGCAAACATGTGTGATTTTTTTGGAGCCACTGCAGGCAGTTTCGGTTTTGTCACTATTTCGTAGTCTTCAAGTGTGATAAGTTGATCGGATAAACTACCCTGAAAAAGTAATGCATTGAAATGAAAATAACAATTCGATTCAAAATTAGAATAATTCACGACGACGAGAGGTGTTAAAAACACGTTACCTTTCTGCGGATGGTGAGAAAAAACGGGAATCTAACAACAGCATTGGCTCTCATCCACACCGGGCATGAAGACGTCATGTAAGAAACTGTGCCCTCGAGTAATCTGACGAGAAAGCCTCCGTCTATCTTGGATACCGATGGTCGATACATTTCCCGCAACTGAAATGTAATAGAAATGTATTATAAATAGGCTTTAAATAAAAAAACTGCAGTGCTAGCGTAACTACGTGTGTTGAATAACATCGAGTATCAGTGTAAAAACGACAAGTCATGTGATGTGTGGTATGATTCAAAAGTGGCGAAAAGTCGTGCTAGAACAAACAGAAATACTTACAAACTCTGTAATATAATTTTCCAATACTTCATCCGCCATTTTATGTAGGTTTTAAAACAATCGTTAAAAGCTAGACAGCTCGACTTGTACGTCCGTACTTTACGAAGTGAGTTTGGGAATGGAACACATCTTGCACTTGTTGCCACCAGCAACACGCATTGATGACGACACAGACGCTGTTCCACGCGTTCCGCCTGTCACACGGCGCCACGTCACAAGAGAAAAAGTGGTGACCGGCAGACGTGTGTTATGTTGGTTTAGCCAAGATATTTTATATTATATTACTATTCACCTAAATATAGAAAAAAGGCATCGATGAGATGCGTTAGTTAAAATGAAAGGCGCCAAGTTTAGAGAAACTCTCCCGCACCGAATGCGATGTTGATGACGGCCATAGATGGCGCCCTCTCC